GACAGCTCCGAAAAGGAAGACGGATGCACGTTTGTTCACCTTCGTGAGTCAGTCTCGCCGGTTAATCCAGCATTTATGTGCGCAAATATGTGTAATCTCGATATGGAATCTCACTGAGAACGAGTCAAAACGAGTAAAAAATGGCAGTAATTTCATTCAAAGTCATAGCGACAATACTGTCACACTTGAAATTACAAGAGTGAACGTTTCACTCAAGCTTAGAGCGAATTTTGACTCTGTATGAGCGAATGTTTCAATCGATTAAAGTGATCTATTTCAGATTTGGAATGTGTTAATCAGATTCGCCCTTCAATTTCGAGTGAAAATATTCACTTGACAATTCAAAAGATAGAATTTACTTTACATGGGTGAAAAGTTGCTCGAATTCAAATGACTCGGTGTTCATTCTACACTTTTCGAGTGAAGTTTTAATCTAAGAAATTTTTTATTAAAGAATATGCAAGAGTTGCATTGTTAAAAGGAAAATTATATAATTGATGTGTCATTTGTATTGGTTGGTGTTTGCAGGATTGTGTGCACAGAGTAGGTCAGTTCAGTGCGTGTTTGACAGCTGCGAAAAGGCAGACGGATGTACGTTTGTTCACCTTCGTGAGACAGTCTCGCCGGTTAATCCGGCGTTTATGTACGCAAATATGTGTAATCTCGAGCGAGGAGACAGCGTCGCGGCGATAAAGTCGTAAAGAGACCTCGTGGAAACGTCATAAAACCATGACGAAGACGGCTCTTTCTTTTCCCGTTTGTGCCTGGCTGGGGAACGCTACGTAGCGAGTCTCCAACTGGCTAAATTCCAGCTTCCCGACAGATAAGATGCGATCTAATCTCCCGGCTGAATTTTCAAACAAGACCTGATTACCGAGATATCTCAGTTAACGCGTCGGAAGCTTGAAAATTACGAGAGACGGTCTGAATACCCGCATCCAGAATTTTGGTGCTGCCGACGGGAGATATGCGTATCGCGTCGTTTTATCAAATATTTATAGTCTTATTGCCAATATGATCGCACGATTTAGCGATTCTTTTTGAGCAATCGCCGCGAAACGTGTGCACCGATCTGCTGTATCTGGTCGAGCGAGCGCATCACCCCCGAATGCATCGAGGAGAAGCACGAGGCATTGACCTCCATTGCCGAATTCGGCGTGTGTATGTACGTGAGCGCGAATCGGTTTCATCAAAGACTTTCGTTTTCGCGAAACGAGCTACCTGCCTGTTCTTGGGACGTAGGAGTCGTCGATGGATATCGCATTGAGGAAAAAGTGTGCCCGGTACTTATGACTCTATACCAGCAATAATCGTAGTCATAAAGACGAGATTTTGCAATCCTCTAAACTTGAGAAACGGATATCCAGAATTCAGGTAGAGGTAGAATTCAGGAGATTGCGGGATAAATTCCAAATTTCAGATTGTAGAATAAATTCCAAATATAAATATTGTAAAATAAATTCTGACTCTAAATCGTCGAGTGAATATCTTCACTTATGTCCCGGGTAGAAGTTTATCCAAAGGCATACTGATCGGGTTAGTCAGTTATTAGGTTTATATTATGTATAAGGTAATATTATCGAGTCATGATAATTCAATCAACGCAACATGGCGATCAGGATCTTATTAATAATAAAGATTATTAAAAATTAAGATGTTAATAATTAGGACTCGATAACATTGCCCATCTAAACCAAGCAACCTAAAATAAATGTTAGGATTAGGTTAGAGTGGATTCATGAGAATTGATTCCGTATGAAAAGTACTCAAATTTGAACTGTCGGCTCTGTCACTCTGAAAGAATTTCACTCGAAGAAGTACGGACAGTTGGAAGTGTTGCTAGTGTTAACTCTCTATTACCTACTGTGATTCTGAAGTCACAATCCAGTTTCATCATTATTATTTATCTTCAATATAAATGTTCCTGACTGATGTGAATGTTATTTCTTGACTGATATAACGTGAAATTCACAATATAGCTGCTCTTTTTTAATAAGTTGGCAGCAACTGCCTAACGTGATCTCAGAATCACAAATTTATTATAGGAAAATAAAAAATTAGAAAAGTAAAATTTCATCTTATATATGTTAATTACTTTAGTCTCAAACATCCTATGTAGATGAAAATTTTCTTAAACATGAGAAATTACTTCGGGCAGTAAAAGGTTAACCATAACACTGATACGCATGTGGCTGTTATTCTTTTCGTTAGAACAATAAGAACTATAATCACCGCCGAATATGACTATGATTTGAAACTTGAAATGACTGAGATTAACCGTTTTCTCTCAGCGAGCCGAACCGGCCGAGACGAAGATGCGTCGATATTTTCCTACGTCCTTCGGCCATTCCCACGTCGGGAGATTAATGACACGTTACAGTAATAGATACGCATTAGAAATTTATCATCTCCAAAAAGAAGAGAGGCCGATTGAGAAACGTGCTGTTTCGCCACCCAGCGAGTGATTCACCGGTGTTAGTGGCGACGCTTAAATCCCGTTAAGTAAGCGCCGTCATTCATCGTCGATTTAAAAGCATTGTTTCACGGAGTGGCTTGCGCGCACGATGTGATAAAGTGAGCTTGGATTTTCACGGTCGAAATTCCCTCGCGCACGGGGATTCGCAGAAAAGCGCAGCATTTTCTCTGTGTTCACGTTCGCAATGCAATTATCATTATTATCGTCATTCACACGTTGACTGTCACTGGTAGCCGACGATGACCAACACTGCGATGCCGCGTCTCATTAATTCCCTTATAGGATGTACTCAATTATACAAAGTAACATCGGGTGAATAAACAAGGTTGGTTCTTCTTCCAAGTGGATTTTCATGCTTCATTGCATGCAGTAGAAAGGAATTACTTATCAAACGAGTGATTAATAGTTATGAATGAAGCGGAAAATGAAACATTTACAAATTAATGTAGTTCTAAAGGGAAGGAAGGAAGAGGAGAAACAGGCGCTATGGAGACATGAAGCAAGAGAAACAAAATAAGATACATTGTAATTCCTCGAAAAGATTTCGATGATATATCTCTGGCTTAGGTTTCAACATGTACAATGATGGATCTGTGAGATCCGAGTATTCGAGCGCTCAGCAACTTTCGTAAAGAATCCTGGAGAATTTCTGAATAACGCAGATCTATTTATAGATTTTTATTTTATTGCGCTGCTATCTCACGCTTGAGACTTCTCTATATTTTTGGGAAACAAAATGTTCAAACCGATTTTCAACGAAGTTATGGTAGTTCAAAGTTGCCCTGGTTTGACAGACCCAGATTCCGTATTCCAAAAGATACAACACACGAAAAAAATGTCGGTCGGGTTAACAAAATTTCTAGTCAAATATGAACGAACTAGAAATTTTGTTCAAGCTAACAAGATTTCTAGTTAACTTGAATTCTGGTAACTTCAGTCGGAATTTTCTAGTTCGTTTATATTTACCAAGAATTTCGTTAGTTCAACTAAATGTCTTTTCCGTATACGCGAAGAATTAATTGTGTTAAACAGCGCGGTCACAAAAAATCCCCTCGTAAATAGCGTCGCGACGTTCCAGCTTCGTTGCGAATTTTCGTTTAATCCACCGCGCAGTCGTACGTTCACACCGTGACCCTTACGTATCTTGTTCATTTTGAATACAGCGAAATATTTAACGAGATGTCAAAACACCCCGGCGAACTATTCGGCTCTCCTGCGACGCGTTTGAAAAATGTGTGAGCCGCTGCTGCTCGCGCATCCAGACCTTCAATTATTCGCTTCCTCGGGAAAATGGCCGAGAAACAGGGTGGCTCGCGCGATCACCCTGTCCCCCGGTCAGGATAAATGATAAATCACTTTGCGTATTCGGCTTGCGTGGCGCAGCGTCCGTCAAGGCTCCGTGGATTTGTTGCACGTTCGTTAAATTTATAACGCGCGCGAGGTAACGAAAATTCGCATTACAGGATCATCGGGTCAATGGAACGGCGCGGCGAAAACGCGCGCGCATGCCGTATTAGGTTGATACCGCGCTTCTCCGCCGACACTGAGAAAAATTTATGATCGACTTAGCGAAGAGAATTTTTAGTCCTCTCCTCCGACAGGCGAAGGATAAAGCTTTGTTATCAAACAACGTGTCTGCGTTACGAGATATGCCTTTAACATTTTCAGTGAAGCTCTTTTTCTTTCTGTCTGCCTTTCCGCTTTTCTTCCGTTCTTTGCTTTCCAATTTTTTCTTTTGAAACTGCATGGTGTATCGAGCTTTAAGTCACCTCATAATTTACAAAATTTTCGGGCTCGAAAAGTCTATTTTAATTTTTCAAAGTGATGTTTCACGCAATTCTCAATTAATTTTCCGAAATAATTTATTCCAATTTCAACATTAACGCATCAGTTCTATCTTGGCGCCGGGCTGATATCTAGAATTTCATCAACCTTGGATAAGCGCATGCCATAGATGCTTACCTTGTACTCCCCGAAGGCAGACAGGTAAGGAACATATATTAATTTGATTTCTCTAGAAAGTTACTTCTGAATATTTAAATTTCTTATCGAGTATTTCCTCATTATGCGTTTACTCATCATTGAGTTTTTACTGAAATCTCCGTTTCATCCAATCTTGTATATATTGTGAGTCATATTTTATCTACTATAAAAATTAATCTAATATTAATGTGTGTGTGTGTGTTGATACGTATATATGTATATATATATTTTATTTATTTATATTTATATATCAATACACATATTTTAATATTAGGCTATTTTTTATAGCAGATAGAATATCGCGTGATTCATAACGTACAAGCTTAGACGAAATCAGATTTGAGAGAAAGAAAATTCTCAAAAATGCTTACCTCGCAATTAACTCATACACTTCATTTGATTTTCGCTAGAAAATTGGCGAGAAATTCGCGCGAGTTCGAATGTCACGTCGGGGGTAATTGTGCCACCGCTTTGGCTGTCATCGTGCCCCTCGCGCCCCTCTATCAGTCTCAGCGAAAATGTTGCAACGTGCGCGTGTGTGTGTCAATGCGCCAGAGCTCTATCAGTGAGAGGGAGGTCGTCACATCTGCGAGCCAGGTTTCGGCAGTGCTATATAAAAGCGCCTCCTCAATTTCGATTTTACAGAAAGACAAACTCTTGTGATCAGCATCATGAATACCTCGGTGAGTCTGCGTGGCTTGGTCAAATTTTTCGACTATGCGATTTCACGCGATTATTCGTTTTGGACTTTTAATTAAAATTAAACAAATTCGAATTGGAATCTATTAAGTATGTTTTTTTTACTAAAGAAAATTTTTTTACGCATTTGAGAACCGATTTTTCAATAGCAGTTTAAATTCTGTTCAAACGCATCAAACACAACGTTATACTGAGAAAAGAAAGCAATGTGGTCGACAAAGTCAGCGACCTTCAAAGAAATATTGTATTTATTGAGCAAGTTACATGCATCAGTATAACAATAAGTTAATTTATAATATAATTAGTTTATAATTATCGGCTAAATTGCAATCGTTGCAGTAATTGATATAACTCATCATAACAACGATATAACTCGTCCAATCGACTAAATATTTGCTTGAACGAATTTTGTTGATTCAAGCAGAATTTCACTAACTCCCTTTTCTCTTCTCAATGTAGAACATAACTCTAATCTAAATTAAATCTAATTTCTAATTACTATGGAAAAATCAGTTCCGAGCATTTAACTTCCTCAGCCTTATATTATTAAGAAGTAAAAGAAATAACAAAGAAAAGAGAAGGAGAAAATCGTGTACTGAAGTAACGCGAAGACGAATAAGATCCAAACAAAATTTGAAATGCGGCTCGGTTAAAATGTCGTAGGTTCGACTATTTCGACTGTCATAGTTGCAAAATGCTTCCTTCGTCCTGAGTTGACCGCGAAACCTTTCTTGCAGACTGTCGTCCTCCTCTGCCTGCTCGCAGCGGCCGCGTTCGCGGCACCACCGGCGAGACAATCGAAGGACGAGCCAATCCCGATCCTGGCCTACAATTTCGACGGGCCGCATCCGAACGGTTTGTACAGCTACAGCTACTCCACGGGCAACGGCATACAGGCGCAGGAGCAGGGTCAGCTGGCGAAGATCGCCGCCGACGAGGACGCTCTCCGCGCTCAAGGCTCCTTCAGCTACGTCGACGCCGACGGCAATTCCTTCGGCCTGAACTACGTCGCTGACGAGAACGGCTTCCAGCCGAAGGGTGACCACCTGCCGACACCGCCTCCGGTGCCTGCCGCCATCCTGAAGGCTCTGGAGTACATCGCCGCGCACCCCGAGGAGGACAACCTGTGAAAGTGAACCGCCACGCGGCGTATCGTTCGGACTGAGATCGTGTCGAATCAATCGGAGAAGTTCGACCTTTCAGCTCAATTTGGCTCGATTACGCTGGACAAACACGAATTATTCATCAACCAAACAGTCGCCATCGTTATCTGTGATCCCCTGTCAATATTCCGCCGGCGAAACATTATCAACATTGTCTTTTTATACCAGTATTGAGCAGTAATCGATTAAAACTTTGCTTGATTATTAAATAATTAGTAAATCGATCATCAATCATCACGTATGCAATCACAAATAATTTGATTGGTGAAATTATAATTATTGATCAGTGTAGAATCAATCAGATCAGAGTTTGATTAACAATTAATTTCATCAGTTTCGTTTATGTTATTCACAATTTTATATACGAAGGTTGATTGATCTTGACTATTAATTTCGATTACCTTAGTCAACTAAAATTGCAATTTAACATTTGTAAAACTAACGTCTTGATCGATTAACGCTCAGTACTGGTTTATATCGTCTGGTAGGTCCATCGAAAATCGAGGCGAACTTTTGGATTGACCTGATATCGACGATCGTTAGTACAAACAAATCATGAGAAAAAGAGAGAGATTTCTGTGACGATTAAATGGATACGACGCGCGAAAAATACGAAGGGTAAGGTACAACTTATTCAGACGAGGGACTCGAGAGCCAAAAGAGAAAAGAAGAGAATCGCCGCGGCTCTGAATGTCATTAGGTTTCTTTCATCTTCTTGAAGACCCCACTTGAAGATTCGATATCCTTAGTCTATCGATATCAGTAACGCACACACACACACATACACACACACACACACACACACACACACACACAATGCGCGCGCGTGCTGCCAGTTCCGTAATTCCAAACGAGAATTTAATCTCACCGAGATTACGACGTCGGGAGATTTTATACTCTTGCGTCTGCAAGTTCCACAAACTCGCATGATTCGAGGCTGAAGCTCGCTCGTTGCGCGCGAGGGAGACAGCGACAGAAGGCGGGAGAGACAGTGCGACGTTCCACGGGTGGCGGCTCCGAGTTAGCACAGTCAATTAGTACCTACTGTGTTAATTAAGGAGAGCCTCGTGGCGCATGTATTATGTATAGAGCCGGTGCGACGGCAACGTTTATATTAAACGCTGCTGAACTCGACGAAATAAATTTCGACCGTGTGCGCTCAGTCAGTCACGCGCGCTCCTTCTACGATGAAAATTTACCTGACCGTCGAGCCGTAAACACATCACGGATGTCCCGTTCATTAAAACGTATCAAATCGCTCGTGATTTGAATACGTCGCGAAGCGGCACCACGGACGGACGAACGAGCGAGCTCGCGCGATTATACGAATAACGCGAGAGGCCATATTTAACGAACATCACGTGTAGATGACGCAATAATGGTCGCGGGACACGATGAAATGGCATGACATTGGCCCAAATTGCTGCCGCTAACGAGCGTTTTGAATTCCCTCGCGAGTAAGCTCCCTTCGAAAACCCGACTCTGTATTTTTCAGCTGTGTATATATATTTTTTTTAATTCTCTGTTTTTTACACCTCTTTTTTAATTACTTCCCCACGTAGCGAAATGTCCCGAAGCGATACTCGCCGGGAATAAATCGAACGAGCAGATCTCTCTTTCTCTCTCTCTCTCTCTACCTCGCGCGCTCGCACAAAAACGATTACGCTACATTTTTATGCGATCGCCGTTGCGCGCGTGTGTACGCGTTACTTTGTCTGGCAGCACCCTCGAAAGTAGATTTTCGCAATCCCGGCTGAAAAATAGCGCCATGCGAGCAATCTCCCCGGGAACGGAGCACGTGCTAATCCAAAACGCGACACAATCCCGGCATGCGTCGTGTGGCACGTAGTATCCGCGCGCGCGGATGCTGCACGAAGAGGCGTGCGATTTAAATAAGATAAATGCTCGCCATCTTACGGCGGGACGTGCCGCGGGTATAAAAACGAGAATTACGACGTCGCATTAGCTGGTGTCCGACGTCCGTTACATTCGGGAGCTTGCGATACGTCGCATCCGAGGGATAATGCGCGCGGTGCCGCATTCACGTGTATCAGGCGAAAAAAAAAGAAAAAAAAAGTAGAAGAAACCCGTCGCCCGGGTTGTGTCCGTCTCAACAATGTCGGCGTGTGTTGCAAAAATCGTGCGTCACGTCGATCCGCGAACGACGAGGACTCTTCACGCATGTATCCGCATTAATGGAGACGTAAAATACAACGGCACGTTAATTAAACGAGCGTCACGTGATTACAAATTGCTCATGGACAAGGTGGTCCTTGAGAGAAGAAGAGGGAGAAACAGAGGGAGAGAGAGAGGCAGAGAGAAAGAGAGAGAGAGAGAGAGAGACGAACTAATTTATTCTTCGGGTATTTTCCATATTCAACGTGTACCTTGCGGTCGAGACGATTAAATCGCTAGTTTGCCGGTGATGCTGCGTTTCGAGAAATCCGGCTATGGATAATAGTACGAAATTGCGCAGCAGGAAGACTCTCTCTCTTTCTACCTCTATCTCTCCATTTCCATCTCTCTCTTTCTCTCTGTCTATATCTATCTTCTCTCTTTCGCTCTTTACTTAAATCGAAAATATTTTTCGCCCGAGACAAGTCTCTTCAATCTCGGTCGGGCGTCTTTCCCCCTCGTAAATCACCGAACCTCTGAGCGTATTTTAAGGAATCCGCGCCAGACGAGGAAAACGCGGCGTTTCCTCGACCCACTTCCCTGCTACTTTATAGCGAATTCGGTTACTCGCGTTGCACCTGCATTACACGATCCACTCATCCTCACATTTTCATCGTTCGTTTTTCAAACACGTCCAACCATACATCCGATGTGACTGTGTTCCGAGGAATATTTCTGGAAATAATTTCGCACACGATGATAAGTCGTCGTAGGTAATTCCAATAATCACGCACGCGAATGACATGTCAACGAGATAATCAGCTTCGCTCTTTTCTCTTTCTTCCTTGTTTTCTTTAATTTCACGAAACTCCTCTTCACCCTTGTCCCGCATCCTTTGGCCACTCGTACTGCGAGTACTCGCAGCGATCGCCTCGTGCAAGCACGTGCTCGGTGATATCCGCGCAGGAATTTGCATACGAGTCTCGCAATCAGCGGATGCAACGACTGGATGCACTTCGAAATATCTAATCGCCGGTCCGGTCATCGTAGATCTCCCGCGCCGCCGCCGCGAAATCACGCCCCGACTGAATTACCGTTTCTGATTGACAGTGCTGGATATGCTAGGATGAGCGACGCGTTACGACCACCGTACGTATTTAAAAAGCTCCGAGTCGGAATTTTGGTTCCACATTTTTGCTTCCTTCAAATTCTTCACTTAAGGCATCAATGGAAAATATCTCGACATACAACCCTATGCAGGCTCTCTATTATACTGCTTTAACTTTTAAATAAAAAACGCTTATTTAACACGGAAAAAAAAAGTTTATCGAATATGAACGATCCAGAAATTCTGATTGAAGTAATCCGAATTCTGTTTAAGTCAACAAAAAGTCTTGTTAACTTAAACAGAATTAGGGTTAATCGGAATTTCTGGATTTTCATTTTTATATCATCGTTCATATTCGACCAGATATTTGGTTAATTCAATCAAAATCTTTTTTTCCGTGAAGAATTACTTAGTCCTCAATTATATCAATTATCTCATTCAACCTTTCGTATCTTCCAATAAGCAATGTATTATTATCAATTATGCACTTTGTTGAATTACAAATAGAATATGCGCGCAAATAAGTAAATGTTAAATACTAAATAATTAGTATGGGTGTATAAAATACCGAACTGCTGTTATTCATAATCAATTCTGTTGTTACTTATTTATTGATCCAGAAAATGTCGGCAGAATTTAGATATTTAAAAGAGGCGAGTTGTTGCGAGGAAAAAGTTGTGAGGCCAAAATTAGCAGTTCTTTCTTTGTAAACATTAATAAGGAAATTTAAATTTGGACTCAGCACGATAACATAGCTATGATGGAGGCGTAAACTACTTTCTTAAAGTCAATCAGTGAATAGTCACTGATATCAATTATAAATATAGCACTGAACACTTTCAGTGCAACACTTATAACTGTAAATCAGTGTAAACTGTATATTCACTGTTTTCAGTGATGTTTCACTGATTCATTTTAAGAGAGTACGATGCAGTTTGCGAGAGTACCAAAACAATGGGCAAAAGAGTGTTACCTCCCATCAGTCGTTCGCCCATGAGTAGCAGAGCAATCACAATAATGGACACTATCAAAACAGTCCGAGACGGTCAATGTTACCTTCGTATGCTATATTACGCCTCTAGTCAGCGAGTGATTCGTATAGCACGTGGTACACGCGTCAGTGAGATACTTATCACATACGCCGGATGATGAGATTTCGTTGATTCATGGAATACTGATTCGGACTCTCGTCAGCGTTAATTAATTAACGCGTGTGTCTTCGATCGAATTGTATCCACGCGAGTATCAATGTTAGTTAACAAATGCCCGATATCACGGAACAGTCAAAGCAGAACGGTGGATGCTGGATAAAGAAGCCAGGATAGAAGACTCTCTCAGGAAAGTCGGTACATCGTATTTCGAGGTGTATGAAATCATTTATTGTCGTGTGTCATTTTGGAACAGTTGAAATTTCAATTGTCTGTTACGGATTTTGTTGAAAGAAGAAAGTTATAAACATCGGAAGTTAAACAAAATTGTTTTGACTAGAAAGTGGAGATCTGAAATAATGAAAAACATTGGTTTTGCTTACTTTCTTACATTGTGCGGCGCGAATTAATTAATTTGAGAGAACAAATGAGAAGCTTTGCTGTTGCACGGTGACAAATGATCTCATCTGACGGATGATTGATTTTAAGCTTCAGAAATGACGGTTATTGGTGATTTGGCAGTTGGATTTAATCTCGCTTCGCTGTGCGGCACGGGATAACGATCGCCCTTTGATAATTTGCGCCGGTGTGGAAATCTCGCACACTGAACTATCGCACGGTTGCATTGTGGGTGCCCATCCTCTTGTCGGCGAACGTCGGGCACCGTCAATTAAATGCGCGAGGCCGCTCCGCGAAGTATCTGTACACGAATCTCAAGTCCGCCTCCGCGGGCGGCGGATATAATAGCTGGCTGCATGCGCTCCAAGGATCTGATCTGATCCGCGAGCCCGATCATGCACCGTGGGCCACGTCCTCCTCGTGTTCGCATCGCATCCGCGCGACCCAGAGATCGAATCGCTGTACGGTCGAAACGGTCCCAAAGGTTGGGCCAGTCCCATCTCCCAACGAACGGGACGATATATCTCAAACTATTTATTTCTCCTCCTGAACTTTATCGTGAACGATGTTAGGGTCTTCCTCAAGTGTTTTTCTTTACTATATGAGGAAGACATAACATGTAAATTTGGTAAAACAGACAAATAAAATAAAGATTTTTGTCCATGATAAAAAAATCAAAAAACATAAATCAAACATTCAGACTCTCACAAAGACAAGGAAGAAATTGAAAACTAAATTTGATTATGCCGATTTAATTACACTAATATTATACTAATTTAATTATGCACTGAGAAAAAAATTTAAAAATTAACAAATATTTATTAGGGTACCATTAACGTATTTACTTAAACAAAAAATTTTTTTCACTTAAATCGAATATTATTTATTCAATTTAAATAAATAATACTAGATTTAAATAAAAATTTTTTTATTTAAGTAAGTATGCTAATAGTACCTATCTAATAAATATTAGTTAATTTAAAAATTGTTTTCTCAGTGTACCAATATATAAGATATTTTTCAAATAAAAAATATCTTAAGACCTAGATTTAAATAAAAAATTTTTGATTTAAGTAAGTATGCTAATAGTACCTATCTAATAAATATTAGTTAATTTAAAAATTTATTTTTCAGTGTACTAATATATAAAATATTTTTCAAATAAACAATATCTTAAGACCTTTTTCATGAAAATGATTTAGCCTATTTAAATTAAAGAAGTTAGACTTAAACAAATACGCGTTATTAGTATCTACCGAATAAATATTTTTAATTCTCTTAATATTTTTTTCTCAGTGTATGCACATTTTCGTAAGAGATCTCCCTCAAGAGATTTATTTTATCTTCTTTTCGATGTCTCTCGCGAATCAAAATTTGCATACTTATCGGAAGTCTTGCTTCTCTTATCGTGCCATTTGGTATGCGCAGTAAATTTGCTTATCAAATTCATTAAGTACTCCCGTAATTACGCCAAGAATTACTATAACTTTCCAGGATTTAACTGCACGGTCGTTTGGATCGCTCGACACAATGGACCGAATTTCTCTAACGAGACGTAGATCGAGCAACTCGGTTGCGCAACCGTAACTAGACCACCGGGTTAGCCGATCACCGGCATCGGTACCTCTGACGGTATGCACGTTCGTCATCTCCCTTTCGTTGCATCGCGATCTCGCCGCGGAGAAAGTCTTCCTCGTCACGACGTCGAGATCCGCAGCGGATTCCCTGTTATAGATTTTTCGATGATACTATTGA